AATATGACAAAAAGTTATCTACTGCTGCTTTAAGGTCATTCTAATGTATAAAGCTGTACTGAGGATCTGTTGGGAGAAATGGAACATAATATTCATAGATATGTTTTCATTAGTGTAAAATCACCTGAACACAGGAATAGTTTTGTTTTTGTTACCTTAGAATGAGCTGTTTTTATCTAAAGAGGGATCGGGTCCCTTTTCTGGCGAAGTCGACATGTTAAACCACCATGTTTCGACAGTAGCCCAGAATGGACAAACTAAACACTGGCTATAAATAGGGAGTTTCACATTTGTTGCATGTTTTGCAGCCACTGTAGTTTTGTCCTACACACCTGGAAGGGGAGGGGGCAACAGGATGACTTGGAGATTTCAGATGTCAGAGCTTAGAGTGGACCATGAAGGCAACATTACCCCTATCTGTGTCTGTTCCAGCAGCAGTAACAAGAGTCTTATTCACAAACACACACACAGTGACTTAGTGTGGTGTCCATTTACCAGGCCAACAGTCACGGAGCAGTGGGAAGAAACCTATAGTATGTCAAAGCTGAGATGTTACACCTTACACTGTACCACAGCAGGCTCTGGGACAACAACACACTGAAACTCTAGAACAGTAGAAATTATGAATAAGCATACAGTCATATGGTTATTTGAATGCAGATGCTACTATATTGCCACAACATTTTCACCAATACCTGCATGAAATCTGATCAGCATTAGAATCAATTTGGGTTTTGTTTTTTTTGCTGTCATTTCAGTGTCTTATTGTCTTATTTGTGTACGTCTTAACCTATTGGTTTTAGAACATCTTACCAAAAGACTGCAGCTGAAAAAAATAATATATATATATATATAACATCCAACAATTAATCAAACATTAAAAGCATAGCAGGGAAGGCTAATGCTATTACATTCTTTCTGCAATGTATTTTATAACTACTATATGTTTGGGGCTGGTCAGTGGAGGACAAAGCATTCAGATCCTTTACTGCAGTAATGTAAAAATACTCCATTACAAATAAAATCCTGCATTTAGAGGTATCAGCAAAATGTAAAAAAAGTATCCAAAATAAAAGTACTAGATATTATTGATCTGGCCCAGTGACAGCCCACTAAGTACAACAATGAATTACTGTCATATCTCAGCCGACTGTCTCTCTTTCTCCTCCACTGTCAACACCGCTTGCCACCTAATGTGTAGACAAATAGTTAAATGAGGGAATCACAATACACACTAAACACTAGGCCTAACCACTTGTAAACCATTGCCACAAACAAACTAAAAAGTGCTGGAACCGGTCTGCTCGACATAGGGCCAGAATAGAGTCAGCTTTGCTCATACAGCTGGCTGAGATATGGCTATATCATGGGCCATAAGTGGCTACCAGATCTGGAACACATGTAGACTCTAAGTCATTGCTGTATCTGGACCGAGTGTAAGTGGCTTGTGAGGGCCATCACTGGGCCAGATCAATTTTGCTATGTCTGTTGGGGCAGCCCATTACCACGCTGATATTGTGTAGTCTATTCATCATAAGGTGTTGTTCCACCACAAGCCTCCAAAACATCTTTTTTTTAAATAAAGTTTTTGGGGGGCTTTTTTTGCCTTTATTAAATAGGACAGCTGAAGAGTGACAGGAAAGGGGGGAGAGAGGGGATGCCATGCAGCAATGGGCCACAGGTCGGACCCACAGCTGCTGCTGCAAGGACTCAGCCTTATTGGTACAGGGGGCAACAGCTCTACCAGGCAGGAAGATTAGATTACATGGATTTGTTTGTTGATTGACAGATATCTTGTATAATTAAGGATCGAAAACACTGACTAATGTTTTTTTATCAGTGTATCAGCATTGGTAAACTGTCAAAATACAGTTGTTATCACTGAAAACAGCAAAAATGACTTTAATTTCACACATGGTGACTTTTGTTACAGTTCTATAACTTTTAAAATTCAGATTAAAATAAGAAAAATCTAATAACAGCACTCTTCTGTAAATGTAAGCCTTATTATGTATAATAGCAGTGTTCACCTGTATTTATGGGTCATTCCTTTGTTTTTACATTTTTAATTTTTTGTTTTGTAAATATCTTTAATTAAAAATAAAAAAGCAAAATATAAGAAGAGATTTATTTAGTGAATTAACTTTAATTATTGTTTTAATTGGAAATTTGCCCTAAATTATTAAGGGTAATTTACATATATAACATATGTATCCTGTTTCTTGCCAAAAATGTTAGATGAAAGGAAACTACAGTAAGGTGCATGTTACCTTGGAAATGTTTACCATGGTTATGATTGGGCCCGGAGTGAAAATAGAAAAATTGAAAAGAGAGTGTTTCAGTTTGTTACTGTTGGAACGGACATTAAAGTGGATCGAGTAACCAAGATGAAGTTGTCCCCGTGCTCTTACTTCACCCACGACCCAAAGGTAGTTAATATAGTAACTATCAAGTTGTAGTTAACGCTAAGAGGAACCAGCGTTACACAAAACATAGATAATAAACTTTTTAATTTTAGAAAATGACTGTCTGTACGAGTCAGGTAGTTTCTGTTATTTTACAGTATTTTTATGCCGCCACAGCAGCCGGAATATTAGGGGTTTTTATTTATTTTACTAATTTTTTAAAGGCAAACATTAGAAATTGCAGTGTGGTCAATATTGTAAGAGAGAAAAGAATTCTTATATGTAAATGTGTGAATTGGCCTCTGCTGCTGTTGAATATGAGCAAACCTTTGTGGCAAATATGATTCTATCTTAATCACTGCCGAGCAGCAAGTAACGGCTGCTCGTGTAATCAGATTACCTGGCCGTGACAGAGCCTGAGTGTGAGGAGTGATACCTGCATGTGTGCCAACCTGTGCCAAAACGCGCTGCGAAAGTTATTTTAAAAAAATGTGCGAAGATGACATCTCTGCTTGCAGAGTCAGTCTGATCCATCCATTGTCAGTGTCAGCCTTCAAAAGCATATGCTGCCAACTACCCTCCTCCCCAGTGCGCCTGCGCTGACTCTCCTCCTCCCTCCTTCCCCCTGTTGGTGTAGCTCCGCTCCGTTCTCTACCTGACAGCTCAGCGGAAGATGCACAGAACCAAGCCCGGTGCTCCTCACCAGCAGAGATAAAGAGCCGGGTATCGAGAGTCCAGGCTGGATACAGATAGGCTGTAGTCCTCAGCATCTCGCTCCACACACACACACACACACACACACACAGCGGCATGGAGCGCTCCTGATCCCGGCAGGACGCCTCGGAGAGCTCAGCCATTCTTCCGTCGTCACATCTCGGATCTGTTTTGGATTTTCGGAGGCCCGACCATGTCTGCGAGAGAGAAGGGGATTCTGACCAAAGACAGTGTCAGCCTGCTGCCCTGTTTCTATTTTGTAGAGGTGGGTCGATGCTGCATGCTTCTCATTCAGAGCCGCTCTGTATCCCCATCTAACACCAGCACAGCGAGGATGTAGTCTGATGTGTTAAACTACCACCAAAGACCCATCACTAAACAGCACCCCTTATGAAGATGGGTTTCCTGTGCGACCAGCTTGATATATATCTGATACGTTGAACAATGTCAACATTAAAACAATGTATCCACAACTGAAATGTGCACAGAGCGTCGAAGATAAACCTCACAGTTCTCTATTACCCGTGCAATGTAGACATAGACATAAGGTAAAGCAATGGCTGGATTTACATTATCATAAAGAAATACATTGCTTTTTGTACTTGCTTTTGTATGCATCCATTATGTCCCAACAACCTGATATTAGCAGTTCCCACAGTAATGTATTGGTTTGGTAACAACATACTAGAAATCTATGTATTTAACATGAACACAGCAAAAGAAGTTAGGGCTGCAAGATATGGTAAAATTTGTTGATTATTTTAACAGATATTCTAATACGATTCACGATTTGTGTGTGTATGATTATTTTGGCATCACAAATTAAATTTCCACTGTATAGTAAAATTGTGATGTGAAATTGTTTGGAGTCTGCCAAGAGAACAAGATTTGTAGGCCAGGGCATCTCTTCAGAACAACAGTACTTCATTATAATGCTGTTGTTACACAGTTTACCTTTATCAAACAAACTGCAGCTTCTGTATATTGCACTTGGCCATATTGCAATTTCATTAATATTATGTTTAATTATGTGGCCATAATGGAAGTTTACATGGACACACTCCTGTAATTCAGTGGACCTACTGTCACCACTGAAATAAATGCATGCTGTAGGATAAACCTTTAAGTTGCAAATATTATTCTGATGAGTTGTGTGGACAAAAATAACTAACTTATTAAATTAGCTTATCTGGCTTTACAGTGTATATGTAAATGTCTGGAAGAATTGAGCAATTCATTCTCAAATCATATTTTAGTTATGTTAATGGACATATATGATATTGATCACAGGCCCCTGAATGGAATGGAATGGAAATTGTAATAATACTGTATGAAACCGGTGATTTCCCCTAACACGCACATTCACATTTTTTTATGTAATTCTGTTTATATATATATATATATTTGAGGGTGCTTTTATTGCCTTTAATGGATAGTGACAGCTGTAGAAGGAGGCTGTAGAGGGGATGACATGCAGCAGAGG